GCTCTCCTCCCCTGCCCTCTCTCTACCTTGTTCCTTCACTCCCTTCTTGGTTCCTCACTTCCTCCTCTGCCTCCTGTTTGATTTCTCTCTCACTTGAATTCTTCCGCGCTCATCTCATCGCCGGACCTCCATGCTGTCATGATCTGACTTCAACCCTTCAGTTGCTCACACCGATGTTGACCATCTCCTGCCAGCATGAGAAGGTTGACTGGCACAAGCTGAAGCCGCACGATCCCCTGCCCCACGGGAACTACGGCTCGTACGAGTACTGCCCGGACGACATGTACCAGGCTGTTGCTCCTCGTTGGAGTGTTTGAATGGCGACGATGGAACGAAATGTTGGAGGTAGCAGGGAGGTGTCTGGTTGGTTAGCTGCAGCTTCACCCTCTCATCATATCTTTTGTTCTCACTTCTTGTAAATTTACTTTGCTGGTTGGATGCTGCTGAGCGAAGGCTACGTAGGGATATATCCTCAGTCCCCGTTCATCATGTTGGTTATCGCCTCCGTCTTGGGCTCCTCAGCAAAGACAGCAATGGGCTAGAATCAAGGAGGTCAGAGGAGGTAGAGGAGGAAGTGACGTTATGAGTATAGTGTTAAAGGAGCAGGGAGCAGGGAGCAGGGAGCAGGGAGCAGGAGGAGCTGATTCGGCAGGAGCAGGAGCCACCTGGTAGGATTCGCCGGTGCGTTCGTCGGGTGTAGTCGTTGTTTCTCTCTTGAATAAGGTCCAGAACGGCGAGTTTGCCATGTTCATTCGCAAGGCTCCTTGGATGGGGAACATGAAAGTCGTACTGCTGAGAGGTCAGGTGGAGGAAGACGAAGGGAGGAGGAGGAGGTAGGGGAGGAGGAGGGGAGAGGTAGGAGCAGAGGCAGGGAGCAGAGCTCAAACCCGGTGTAGAGGAGGCGGAAGTGAAAGATCTCGCGGAAGGAGGCGGCAAACGCGATCCGCTGAGATCTTCCTTGGACAGACATGACGTTGCCTGTGGGGAGGAAGTGAGGAGGGCGGGCGGAGGAGGGGGAGACGCATGCGATGATGCGGTGGAGGATGAGCAGGACGAGGACACAGGGGACAAGCAGGAGGAGGTGAAGGAACAAGAGGCAGTGCGATGGAAGAGAGAGAGCGGAAGCAGAGGCGGAGGAGAGTCACCGGAGCTGGGACGATCCTTCAAGCGCGGGTTGATGAGGATGACGGTCCTCTTGGGCCCAGCAGCCTCCACCTGCCGCCACTTTGAGATGCTACAAGGAGGAGAGGGGAAGGGGGAACGCGGGGGGGGGCAGGATGGGGCAGGGGAGACGGGTGAGAGCGCAGGAGGGGAAGGGAGGGCGGAAGCACCATCTGACTGAGGGGCTCGTAGACGGAGGCGCCAACCATGCTCTGAGGAGCGATGATGATGAAGACCTGAGACGAGAGGGGTCACCGTCAGGAGTCGGAGGGAGAGGGAAGATGGGGTTGTACATCATCCTCCTCCTCGACTTGCTCCCGGCCCACCTGCGCAGGGTTTGAGGTTCATGCCGGGTAGGAGGAGGAAGCGATCGAAGAGGAGGAAGTCGAGGATGAGACTGCAGAAGAGGAGGTGGGTGAGGGACAGGGGGGTAGAGTAGGGTGGGAGGAAAATGAGGGCAACAAGCAGAGGAGGAGCCGAAGCAGCTGGTGGAGGAGGGAAGAGGAGGAGAAGGAGCAGAAGAAGGAGAAGGAGGAGAAGGAGAAGGAGCAGGAGAAGGAGAAGGAGAAGGAGAAGGAGGAGGAGAAGGTTACCTCTCCAAATGCAACTCGTCCTTCCTTGTTACCAGCAATCGCAATTTCTCCAGTTCGTCTATTGATGATATCCTACGACATATTATTGGAGGAGCAGACAACGAGAGATCGGAGGAGGAGGAGGAGGAGGAGGAGGAGGAGGAGGAGGAGCCCAGATTCTGGAGAGGTTACTTTAAACGCTGTCAAGAGGAACGAGGAGGAATTGAGGGAAAGCAAGTTATAGAACAACTGAAGATTTCAGGGTGGAGGACAAGGGAAAAAGAAACACGAAGACAAGGAGGAGAGTGGAGGTCGGAGCAGCAGAGAAGAGTAGGAGGTCGGAGGAAGAGAGAGGAGTAGGAAGTCAGATCAGGAGAACGTTAGAGGAAACGATGGGAGGAGAGGGAGGAAGAGGGAGGGGAGGGACAGGAGGAGAGGAGATGCGCTATGCTGGCCTCACATTGATCAGGAGCCCCTCGTACATCTCTCCTGGCCTTGCCTGCCAGTCCATGCTCTCCATCACCCTGCGTGAGAATGGCCATCAGGAGGAAGCACAAAGTCGGGAGAGGAGGAAGACCAGCAGGAACAAGAGACGAGCAGCAGGAGGAGGAGCCGAAGGATAGGAGAAGAGGAGCAGCAGGAGCAGGCGCAAAACAAGAGCAGGAGGAGCAGGAGCAGGAGCAGGAGGAGCGCAGAATGTGCAGGAGCAGGAGGAGTGCAGGAGGAGCATGAAGAGCAGCCGGGATAGAGAAGGTGAGGACAAGGAAACCTCCGCATGCCGTTGAGCATGAGCGGCATGCCGGTAAAGATTCCTTCCCCTAGCGACCCTTGAATGCAAACTTTGACTCTCCTCCCCATCACAACCCCGACGCGGATAGCGATCTCCCGCACCTGACGAGGACGAGGAAGAGGTGAGAGGAGGAGATCTGCCAGGGAGAGGAGGAGGAGGAGGAGGAGAGGAGGAGGAGGAGGAGGAGGCAGGATGCAATGAGGGTCGAGGTGAACACGGAGGGGAGGAAGAAGTCGATGGCGCAGAGGGAGGGAGGTGAGAGAAGGAGGGATCCAGTGAAGGAGGTGAAGGAGACGAGGGAGGGAAGAGGCAGGAGGCAGGCGGGAGGGAGCGAGGGAGCGAGGGAGCGAGGGAGCGAGGGAGCGAGGGAGCGAGGGAGCGAAGGAGGGAGGCAGGAAGGGGGGGGAGGTTGCAAGAGATCGTGCGGCTTTTCCTCTCACCATCTCGAGCATCGTTCCAACGCGGAAGGAATCCATCTCCGGGTTGAGCTCGGGGGGGACGCACTCGATCTTGAGCCTTGAGGAGACATGAGGCCGAGGAAAGAGCGACGATGACAATGATGAAGATGATAGAGATGTTGAGCAGGAGAAGGAGCAGCAGCAGCAGCAGCAGCAGCAGCTGCAGCAGCAGCAGCAGCAGCAGCAGCAGCAGCAGCAGCAGCAGCAGCAGCAGCAGCAGCAGCAGCAGCACCAGCAGCAGCACCAGCAGCAGCAGCAGCAGCAGCAGCAGCAGCAGCAGCAAGAAGGGAGCATCAGAAGAAGGGATCGGAGGAGGTCAAGAGAGGGAGGAATCACCTGCCAGCGCAGGACTCAAGAAACCTGGAGTCCTGAAGAGCGACCTGAAAGGAATCAAAGGGTGACGAGGAGATGAATCGAGTGAGTCGAACTAGGCAAGAGCAGGAAAGAAAAGAGGAGGAGAACACCAAGGGAGAAGTAGGCAAGGAGGAGGCAAGTGGGGAGACGAGAAGGACTGGGGAGGAGAGTTGGAGGAGGAGGAGGAGGAGGGACAGAGAAGGAGGAGGGACAGAGAAGGAGAAGGAGGAGGCGGAGGAGGAGGGCAAGGATGGAGTGACAAGGAAGCTGCGAGATGAGGAGAGGGAGGAGAGGAAGGAGGAGGAAGAGGAAGAGAGAGACTGACTTGAACGGCATCGCAGACGTCTCGGTAGAACCATTCTCTGATCTCAGTGTTGCAGGGGATCTCTGCGGCAGAATCGTCAGCCCCATCCCCAGCTCTCATGGGCCTGCAGGCTGACCGTTGAGGAACAAGTGGTCGGGGACGGACCAGCCGCGGGACCCGACGGGCATGGAGAGGATGGAGGCGGTCGATCGGAAGAGATCGCAGGACTGCAGGAGCTCGATGATCCTCATCTGAGAGAGCAAGGGAAGGAGGCGCCGTCAGAAGATTGCCCTCCCTACCTCCCTCCCTCTTCCCTTGTCCTCTCTCCCTCCCTTGTCCTCTCTCCCTCCCTTGTCCTCTCTCCCTCCCTTGTCCTCTCTCCCTCCCTTGTCCTCTCTCCTTCCCTCACCTCCCTCACCTCCCTCCTCCTCTCCCTTCCCCCCCTCCCCTCCTTCTCTCTCTTTGCTCACTCCCTTCTCTCCTCACCTTCAACGAGTCTGCGTCATCGCACGTCTTGCCGTCCAGGTAGTCAACTTGCATCTCCTGCTCTTCCTCCGCCTCCTTCCCGAAAAAATCTTAACAAGTCCCGTCAGCAGGGGGAAGGTGAAGGGCAGCTAGTCAAGCTCACTCGTCCTGACTACGACCGAGCGGATTCTCATGTGGCTGTTAGTGATGTCGAGCAACCTTCAGGAACAATCTCATTCTGCTGTCAGGAGGAGAGGAGGGGAGAGGGAGCACAGCAAGCTAGGACGAGGAACTGAGGAGGAACACCAGTTGAGGTATAGTTGGAGGTAACGAGAGGGGGAAGGGGAAGGGGAAGGGGAAGATGCTGGCTGTGACGATAGCTCAGGGAGATGGCGAGCAGCAGCAGCAGCAGCAGCAGCAGCAGCAGCAGCAGCAGCAGCAGGAGCAGGAGCAGGAGCAGCTTTCAAGGCTATCCAACCTTCCGCTCTTGATTCTGAAGGAGCCGTTCATCCAAGCATTCGCCTTCTCTGCCGTCGCAGAAATTCAGCGGGCGGATGCCGCTACCTCCCTCCTGCCTCCTGCCTCCTGCCTCCTGCCTCCTGCCTCCTGCCTCCTCCGCTCCTGCCTCCTGCCTCCTGCCTCCTCCCTCCCACCAGCCGTCTGTCTCGTCGCCTCATGGTGCCGCATCACAATCTCCGCAAGCTCCTGCCGAGACGAGGAGGAGGAGGAAGCGTCGTGGTCAGTCAAGTCAGCAGGGGGGGGGGGGGGGTGCGGGGGGAGCGAACCTTCTGGTGCCTGTCGTTCATGAAGGACATCACCTCCTCCTTGATCTTGCCTCTCCCTGTCAGACTCCTCCTCCTCCTCCTCCTCCTCCTCCTCTTCGCGCTCCGCTCACCTCTTCCAGTGGCTGCATGTTCAACATGGACTGGTGCAGGAGAGCCTCGCTGTCCACTCTCAGCCTGTCATCACATGGTGACATCCCCTCACTAACCGCTCCTGGCCTTGTCGCTTCTTCTCTCCTCTTGACTCCTCTACCCTCTTCTCCTCTCGTCTCTCCTCCTCACTCTGCTGTGTCCTCAAGTTCTCAGTTCCCCTCCTCCCCTTGTCTTCACCTCTTCTCGAGGCCTTGCATGCTCTTGACACGAGCTCGGATGTCTCCCTTGCTCGCCTCCTCCGCGCCTTCTTTCTCCTTCTTCTGTCGCTCATATTCGTCGATTAACCTGCACATTCAACTTGTCATTTCTAATTTCCCTACCCCCTCTCCCCCTCCCCCTCCCCCTCCCTCTCCCTCCTCCCTCCTCCGTGCTCCTCCCTGCTCTTTTCCTCTCCTCACCTGCTTTCTCGCAGGTCCTGACCAGCAACAAAATTCTTTTCTTCCGCTCTCCTCGCCGCATCCTTCATCGCCACCTTGTTCCTCGTCATCGCGATGCGCCTTCTCAAACCTCCACCTCCACCTCCTCCGCTTCCTGCCTCTCCCGCTCTTCCCTCATCCTCCTCAGCGCCTCCGGCTCATCCATGTCGAACGCAGCCTGACGTGATCGCATCGCGGCGTTCTGCTGTCTCTTGGCCGTGTTTTCGGTCTGGGTTATGGCGTCGGGGACGCGGGAGCTGGCTGCCTTGCTGAGAGACTCTCCTGTCTCCTTCCATCCCGCCCTCGCCTTGTCCTCAAACGGGTCCAGCCCTTTCTTAGCCAGCAGGCATGCCGATCCACGTTTGCCAGCGCATACCTTGACAGCAGCGTCACTGCCCGCCCGGTACCAACAGTGTCTGCAGACCTGCCCGACACCAAGGGCGTGAGGAGGACAGTGGAGCTGCCGGGCTGCCGGGCTGCCTGCATGAAGCTCAGCCTCTGAGGTTCGAGACGAGCGATCGCTGACCTCCGATGGAAGGAGCAAACGCATGTGCAGACATGCTCAGGCAAACGAGGCAAAGGACGCCCCTGCTGATCATCGCCGAAGATGCTCGAAGCTCTGTCTGGTAGCACGTCAGGACGAGGAGTTTGAGAGAATGACCAGGGAAGCGAGTACAGGGTACAGCGAACTTCAAACAGATCGCAAAGCTCGATGGAATCAAACACATCTTTTCACTTCATTGCACGATGGCTCCCTTACCACCACAAACAAGCATATTGGATGTAGAACTCTCCCTCTCCCTCTCCCTCTCCCTCTCCCTCCCTCTCCCTCTTCCCCTCCCTCTCCCTCTCCCTCTCCCTCATTGAGATTCTTTCTTCATTGACTTCTTTCGGATCCCGGCTGTGTTTATATGACATCGTACCCTGACCCCCATAATACATATCGAAATGTGGGGTATAAAAGGTGGTCGGGGACGCAAACTGATGTAGGAAGCACAGAGCAGGAAACACGGGAGACAGGACAGAGGGTAGAGGGCAGAGAGAGGAGGAGAACAGAAACAGATTATTGAGCTTGAGCAACTCAGGGAGAGGGAGGAAGAAGGGGCAGCGGCAACGGGTTACGACAGGACGAGTGTTCGCCCAGGAATCGCTGTTTTCGCCAGCAATCCCTTTGGATCTGAGCATCATTGCACAAAAATGTCGATTCATTTTACAAGGAATGTTCATGAGGTTGATTCAGAGATGATTTCGAGATGGATCAAAAACTCCTGGACCCACCCGAGCAAGCAAGATCGAGGATGACGAGTCAGTAATCGCACATAGTCAGGCTCATTCGCATACCTCCAGGCCTTGTTTCTCGTCTGATTATGCAGGCCCACCAGATGGCGAAGATTTCAAGCACCTGGCCGGTGCCGTTCAGAGGGGAAGAGAGCGCAGGAAGGGCGTCACCAGGGTCAGCAAGCAGGCCACCGCCACGGGGGTCCCGACACTTGAGAGGAAGCCGCTGACACACTTCTGACTGGACGTGCAGTACTTGGAGTTCCTGACGATCAACTCAGACTGTCCGCTTGTGGTGTGAGCATGACGGTCAATTACCCAAAGTCGCACATGTTGTTTGCTGTACAACAGTTGACGGGCATCCGCGATGACGTGTCGGTGTCACAAGTCCCGTTCCAGGCGCACGCCGGGAAGTGAGTGACCTGGGGTGGCGGAGGTCAAGGAGAGGAGGATGTGCGGGCAAGTATCACGCTGCGATCAGCCCTTGTGCTGTTGGCTATGTAACAAGCTTGGGGAAGGAAATCCCTAAGGAACTCCTGCATCAAGTTGAGAAGAGGATACCATCGAGATGAGAAAGGTTGCGAGGAGGAGAGGTAGAGGAGAAAGAAGGAGAAGAGAGGTGGAGGAGGTGCAAGGTAGAGACAGAGAGCGAGCAGTAGGTGCGCAATTATCACCCAGTCGAAGTCCTTGTACTGCGTGTCGAAAAGCTGCATCATGACATCGGGTATGCGGTCCATACCCGACACCAGAGCCGCAGCAACCCCGAAAGAAAACTGCAAGAGTAGTACGAAGGAGATCGCAAGGATGTATCTGACAAGACCGCCCATCAATGAAAGTGTTTTCCGCGCTCCCCCAACTCACCCGCACAGCCACGGGGCTTTGTGCCTGATCGCGCCTATACATCCCAAGACAGATGTCACGAGGGAGAAGACTCCAACAGCAATCAGTCCGGAGGCAGGAGCATAGAAGTACGCCGGCAGCAGCGTCTGCGCATGCATGAATCCCTCTACCACTCCACAAGCACAGCAAACCCGTCCGGTGGAACAATCGCAGGAAGGGAGAGACGAGGAGCATTCGCGAGCCTGGCAGTTGATGGTCTTGCATTCGACGGAGCAGTATCTGTCGATGGCCTGCTGGAAGAGTTGACCTGGAACGTTCAATATCATCGAGCAGCAAGGGCGACAGGTCAAGTCGCACCATGGGATAAAGTGACCGCACCCACGATAATGAAGACAAATCCAAGAAAGAATATTCCAATGTTGATGAGAATGAGGTGTCGTCTGGCTGCCTTTGCGCCGCAGAGCGGTGTTGCCATGCTGCAAAGAAAGTGAGACAACGATGTTCTGCAACCATTTACATGGCACTGGGGAAGTAACTGATTTCGGGCATCGGTTCGATCTTCGTTAGAAGATAGGTTTCAAAAACGGTCGATGAACAAGATTGAAATTGTGGTTGGTGTCAATCGGACTCATTACATTGATAGCATCAAGGCATGATGGTTCAACCCATCAAATAGAAAGTCTGGTCAAATGGACTTCAACTTTGCTTGACAGGATACAAAGGAGAGGTGGACACGGTGCATGCTTGGGATGCATGGATCCAGAGAAGATGCCAGAGATGCAAGTCATGCAAGCATGGAAACACTGCGTCGAGATGTCGATGATAGGGGCATGGAGATGGCATGAGCAAGGATAGAATGCGAGGCGCGCTGCTGCAAAGGGGGCAAGCTGCCCGTGACCATGAGTCAGCACTGGTCCAACATGGCGGAGGAGAAGAGGACTCGTATAGGAAAGGGATGTCCAGGGGAGAGGAGATGGAGGCTGAAGATCATATCAGGGTGAGGAGGAGGACAGGTCGAACAGATCCAGGAAGCCGGGCCTTCGTGCATGGACAACGCTGCCGTGTTGGGCATGTGATAGCAGTCTGAAAAGTGATACAAATGTTCTACGGTAGGGGTACTAAAAAGATAGGGTATGGGATACTAATGGGTAGGTGATATTTTTTTATACCCCCACTTTGACTTTATCAGCGAGCTAAAATACCCAGGTACTGACTCAATCAAAAGGGTAGGGGTACAAAAAGGTATGGTGGGGTTATTGAATTTTGATTGGACTACGGGGTGGTGTGACAGCTGTATTGAGCCTGATTTCAATCGAATCCAAATCAACAGAATCGCGCGATTCGCCGGATCTCCAGCGCCATGGTGGGGATGGGGAGGGAAGAAAGTCCATGTTCGTCGAAGATCCTCTTCCTCCCTGCCCACCACAAGCTTGTCTCATCACGAAAGCCTGACTAGGACTCTGTTGACACATCGGAAGCCTCAGCTCCTGATCTACTTGGAGCTTTCACCCCCTGCAAGCATGTCAGGACGGAAGTTGTTTGCCATCTACGTGATCAGTTTGGTGAAGCTAGGTGCCCAATCGAATATGCCGATGTACATCGATGGTTCCAACACACATTGCTTTGTCTCCTTGAGCCCCTTGCGGGGTGGTGATTCATCGCAGTTCTCGTCAGGGGAGGTCAGTTTCGATTACAGTCAAAGTTCGCAGCACGAGGATAGTTCTTCATTCGGCGTTGTAGACCAGAAAGCCTTCTACGAGTTGGCTGGGTTGAAACAGAATCCTTTTGGCAAGATCTGGCACACAAAAGCGTGGAGAAGGAAGATAAAGGAAAAGAAGATGTACAAGGAGGCAAAGCGAATACAAGATTTCGACGATTCTGGTCCGACGGAATGTGTACATCTGAATGAGATGTAATTGGATTTCATACTGATGTTGTTTCTCCTAGATCATTCCTAAGGAAGATATTGAATACTGGAAGCAGAGGCAACATCTGGTTACCGTTGCGTCAAATTCGTACCGAAGAAATGAGTGTTTGTGAACAGATCCCCGAAGAGGTAATCGAGAGATTCAGGAGAGCCCACATTCTGCACGAGCTAGAGAAAGAGAAGGTGAGTTTTTTTGCATGGATGTGCTGTGTGTTAAGGTGGAGAGAGGGGGGAAGAGTGGCCGGAGGGGGGGGGGGGCGACCTTCATCATAGTGACCCAGCATTGCAGGAGGAGTCATCCGACTACCCAGATTCGAGTGAAATCTTTGAGGTGGAAAAGATAGGGAAAGGCGATGAACAACACATCGAAGCATGGAAAAGGATGATACAGCGCTGTAAGCAAGAAGATGAAAAAGGGTTGAACAATATCATGGCATTCTTCCCTGCTTCTGTGATATTTTCGGAACCCCTTCACGATGGTAATGAATCGATGCAACTGTACGCATGCAAACTAGAAAGCAAGGGAGAGAGGGAGGGAGGGAGGGAGGGAGCAAAAAAGGTATGAGTGCTTCACAGAGTAGGAGCGGATATCCCCTCTTCCCTGCAGTAGTTGAGAAACATGCGCGCGGTCTCTCTGTTGGATTCGTTCCTGTCCTTGATCCTGCGTTGACACTCAGCAAGAGTGTTTCTGAACTCGGCGTTTCCACTGTCGGATGCCACCGCTTGCCGCAGATCTGCTCGCGCATCATCTAGCGTAGGAATCCCAAGACGGCAACGGCCACGGACAAAGAATGCCGCACCGTTGGTCGGATTGCAGCTGATCGACTTTGTGGCAAGTTTTGCCCCCTGTGCGTACTGCTCCAACTGGTACATGCAGCGAGCAGCATTCAGGTAGAGGGCTGCCAGCAGCTCCTGCGTGCTAGCGTTGTCTCCTTGGGTTTCGATCAGCCTCAACTTGCTCTCAGGGACGTTGTCATGATCGTCCCCGCAGTCTAGCATTATGTCATAGGTGCCATCACCATTCACACAGCTCACGATCCCTTCCATCTGTAACCCGCCGTCCTGAACCGCCATTGTTATCTTGGAACCGCACTCGAATTTCGATTTCTGAGCTGGAGAACTAGTCTCACTCGCCTTCTTCGCCTTCGATTCCAACATCGCAATCCCTCTTGCATAGAACCCGAGAGCTTTCTTCGCTTCATGAGCTTTGAAAGCCACGTTGCCATCTCTCTTCATCTGCTCTGCTGTGTCTCGTCTCTCTTCATCCTTCGCATCTTCAACTGACCGCAGCATCGATGGAGTTACCTCCCCCTCTTCGTCGAAGCATTGGGAATAATCTAGCGGCATCATGGCAACATCACTAGCCGGCCCGCCTAAGGGTATTATCACCCCACCCCACCAAGATTGTACCATTCCAGGGCAGGGTGGGCGTACTAGCTTACAGGAGTACTGTTTATTGGGGGTGGGGGTGACATTTGGCCTGTGTATAGGGGGTAGGGTTATTTGATCTCTGTGTGTGGAAAGAGGAAATGCGGGGTGGAAAAGAGCCAAACGGGTGGTCGTCAACCAATTCTTGTAGGTAGGGTGTGTCATTAGGGGGGTAGGGGTGGATGTCTTTGGTTCCTGGGGGTCCCAAATAAATGCGGTTGGCTCGATGCTGACCAAGGACATCCATATAAAATTATTTAAAGTTTATTACGAACAATAAAAGTCAGCAAGAGTAAACTTTAACCAATTTCAGTAAACTACAAAGTATATTGTAATGTCCCTTTTAATTTTTGTCTTTTTTGGGGCTGCCAAGCATTATTTCGAAAAACTTTATGGTACAAGCAAAAACGGTGCATTAAAAATGCAATTGAACAACAACATAAACAATATAGTTCATAAGCAATCATGTATAGACTATTGAAATAAAAACATCGTTGTTATTGTGCAACTCTCCCCAAAAAAACAAACCAAACCGTTTTGGCTGCGCCTTCGTTGCTACGCTGATTCCCTCACACAAACAGAGCATACTCTCTGAACATCTTCTTCGCGCCTCTATCCTCTATCCTCCTGCTCATCATCCCGTCACCTCCTCCATTAGAAGCGCTCATCACATTTTCATGGTTTGGAAGGGATTCTTCTGAAGTATGTATACATGGTCACAGAATTAACAACAGGTCTGAAACACTCTTACTCGCTTTTAAAGGCCGACATGCCTAATGCAACAATGATGAACGAAAATTGCATTGAAAAACTCATGAGGAGAAGATCAGATGGAATGTTTTTTTCTAAAGACCTTCTCACATCGAAAGTGCGCAGCAAAGACCAGCATTCTCCACACACAGGCAGTTTCAACAGGTCTGCATCTGAACAACACAGGGAGGACGAGCATTACAAAAGGTTGAGATCAAAGAGTGTGTGTGTGCTCGGCTGTCCGCACTGGGACAACGGTCAGATCAACAATCGAAATCAATCTTTGCTTCATGTCAACTCCATTTCCCCGGCTCCAGACCTTCAGGGCATCGGGACGCTGCGGAATTCACCAGGGGACAGCAGCAAGTACCGTCGGAGGAACAGCGCGAGCCCCATGTTCAAGAGTGTGGTGACTCAGCGCAGAGAGTCTCCGACTGCCTTCGCTGGGAAGGCCTACAGGCGAGCGAGCACGTCGTTCGAGCTGTGCAAGGGGCCGCAGCTTGATCACAGCGAGAAGGAAAACGACGAGTCGAACCACATTCCGAGCATGCTCTTCTCTGTACAGTCTTGTATCTCGCCCCCGCCGCCTTGCCACTCTCTCCAGGTGATCGCCAACGGGATCCTGCCGAGCTCACATCCGAGACAGTCCAGCCTGTACGCTGTGGATGTAAAGCATTACTCCCTGGCGCATTTGATGCCCAGGAACCGAACAGACTGGGCGGCGCTCGAATGTGAGGACGTTGAGGTAGCCGATAGGAAGGCGACTGAAATTTTCAGACGGATCGCTAACTCCAGGTCCGGGAAGTCCTTCAACGATGGCAGTCTCAGGCCGGGGGCAAGGAGCAAAGGCTCAGCGCCGGAGGACTTGTCCGTGTTCGACTTTGATTTTATACATATTGTAGAAGAGAAGAATGTTGATGTCTAATGGGTTTTTGTATCTAAATAAATTGATTTCATGTCTTGTCGGGCTGAGAGTTATTTGTATATCGAGATCGTGAATGACTGTCTGTGGAAGCTTGGCCCTGTCACAAGGCAGTTCATGCGCATTGACGCTCGTGGAGACTCCAAGGTAAGGAGGATGCTCATGCCCTAGGTGTCATGCGATACATCTTTCAGGGGGGTTCCGATCACTTTTTCAGTGACTCCTGAGCTATAACGAGACACGCGTTCTGCCTTCTGAATATTAATCAATGCCTCCTTCCTTCAGACACAAACTCAATTTGCGCCTGCTTTGCTTGGCAAGATCGAGAGCAAGGACATGAGCGGGTATAGACTGATAAGAGCATGGTTCGTCGTCACCCTTTCAAAGCTCTCAATTCCGGCAATTTCATCTTCTCCCTATCTCAGATTATCTACCGCAACGTCTCTCGTCTTCCGAACAATTGGCAAGCTACTCTGCCTTCCTCTTACCTCCCCTCCCCTCCCCTCTCCTCTGATCTCCTCTCCTCTGATCCCCTCCCCTCCCCTCCCCTCCCCTCCCTCTCTCCTCTCTCAAAATTTTTCCGGGTCCAACAAAGTACTGATTCCCTCAAGACCACCCCCACCCCCTAATCCTCCCTCGCCTACCCCACTCCACCCTCCGTCATATTCCGTTCTGACCATCGTACCCAGGCCACTACCCCTACCCGTTAGTGGCATACTACCCCTACCTCCTCCTCAGACCCAATTAGACATCGATGCAGCTCCTGAGAGGTTAGAGCCGAGAAGAGGAGGAGGAGGAGGAGGTGAAGGTGAAGGAAGAGGAGAGGTAGGAGGAGGTGAGAGGAGGAGGAGGAGAAGGATGTTAAAACCACTTATGAACTGGTTTCCTTCCTCCTTCAAAGAGACACAGGACCAAGGTGCTCAGTCTCAACCCTGTCCTCCGCAAACAACTAGCTGGAGGGTAGGAGGAGGATCGGCTTCAGTCCATGCCGTACTCCAGGCTTTGAACGATGGGAACGGACAAGTGGACGTCTGGGGTCAGGGGTTGAGCGATGAGGAGATCGCGACGTTACTGGAAGAGGTGAGAAGGAGAGACGACGTGAAGGTCTTGGAGCTGGGGAGGAACAAGGTCGGCCCAAAGTCCATCATCGCTCTTCAAGGACTCGTCGCCTCCTCCCAGTCGTTGACCAGCTTGCGCTTGAGCGGCTGTCTCCTCGGCGACGGGGGAGTGCATCGGGTGTCACATGCGTTGGAGGAGGGCGGCTGCTTACGGGAGCTGTTCCTGGACTGCAACAGGGCGACGGACGAGAGCGCGCATGCTTTAGAGCGAATCCTCCTCTCCTGCTCCATGCTGACGTCGATGAACGTGGCGAATAACCTCCTGACGTCGAGTGGGATGTGCGGCCCTCCCATCGTCTCGTGGTGCTGGGTGGTACTGACGGCTGCACGCAGAGCACACGTCGTGAAGGCGCTGAGAGAGAGCAAGAGGAGCGTCACTGCTCTGAACCTGAGGAGAAACTCCATCTGTGACAAGGGGGTGCACGCGATTAGCCAGCTGTTGAAGGTGAAGGGCTGCCCCCTGACTTGTCTCGACATGGCTGAGAACCAGGTTAGCGGCGCCCTGACGGCACGGGGCTCGCGAGTATGCACTGCGTGACATGCGAGCGGCAGGTGTGCGACAAGGGAGCTCTGTTCCTCGGGAAGAGCTTGAGCGTCAACGAGTCGCTGCAGGAGCTGTTTCTGCACGGCAACCACCTTGAAATAGAGGGTGTCCGAGCCATGGGGCAGTACGTCGGCAACAACTCCACCCTCCTCCGTGTCACCCTGACGTCGGCCGAGGACACGGTCGATGTGCAGGTGGGAGACAGCTTCCTTGCTCTTGCCGTCCTGACGGGGGCTGATGAGAGCAGCACTTCCGCCTGTCCCCGTCGATCACGCTGGACTATCAGCATGTCATGAACGCCGTGTTCATCACCGAGCTGCTGAAGCAGAACCCGAACCTCAAGAGGCTGGACAACCTCAACATGGTGGGACCCACACCTGATGGCTGAAGTTGCTGACGCCTCGCAGGGGCTAAACGATTCCAACTCCTCTTCCCCCAAGACCCCGGGCGCCTCCTTTGGAGCTCCGACGAGCCTTGGGCTAGGCCCCGTTTTCTCCCCCGCACTGAATCCTCCGGCCACTCAGAAGGATCCAGGGAACGAGATGAGGGAGAGCGAGAGGAGAGAGTCGCAGACCTGCCGACAATGGCCCCACAAGTGCATCGATCGCACCACAGGGACGAGGCTGCTGCACCAGGAGAGGAGCGTCAAGGAGGTTGGCCAGGCGTCTCACAGTGGAGGGAAGACAGGGAGCGAGAGCGCGAGAGGCCCGGCTCACAGCCTGCACAAGACCAACATCTGCCACCTGATCCGGAACATGTCGAACCCGGTGAATCAAGGTGGCTCCGTGACTTCAGCCCTCGCTCCCTTGCAATCTGACGCTCCTACCAGGTCCGGTGGCCCTTCACGCACACCACGCGGGGTCAGTGTATAGCCTGACGCTGCTCAACGACGAGCCTCCTTCCTTGAAGACAGTGCTGAGCGCGATCCTCCGGCACTTTGAGGTCTGCGACGAAGATGTCGAGCTCTACTACCTGGAGCTGCGCGAGGAGTCTGGGGCAAGGAGCATGCTGGAGCATGACCAGGACTTCAGGCTGTTGTGGAGCACTTGCATGGACCAGAGGCAAGACATCCAAGTTGAGCTCAAGAGAAGGGAGGACGTTCGGGTCTGGCGAGCCCCGGAGACCCGGCACCGTGGGCGGGAGTTCAACCGCAGCGACAACATGAACACCTCTAGGACCTCGATGGCTATCAGGAGGAAGCTGTACGACGACTTCCTGAGCGCCGATGGCAGCTCAGACAACGGCGTGTCTCCTCGCAACGTCTCCTCCAACCTTGAGCACGCGACCTCTGCCCTCCCTCAGTCGCCCCAGGGCGCTGACGATCGAAACCGCCCTCACGAGGGCCGCGCAAACATCTCCCTCTATCCCTCCAAGAAGACTAACGCTATTCAGGCGTCAGGGCTGACTCAGGATGATAGGGCTTCGACGACGTCGGGAAGGAGGCAGGAGGCACAAGCCAAACACGATGAGCCTACCGACGACGCGCCGCCTGCCTCACTTGTCAGCATGCAGGCTGGTGGGGGAGTATTCGAGGAGCCTCTCCTGTACCCGTCAAGAAGGCTCAGCCCTCCGTCAGAGTGGAAGGCCTAGCTTGACTAGCTTGACTGGCTTGACTAGCTTGGCCAGCGTTGCGCCTGGTCGCTCAGTCAGTATCAAGAGCTCCGGTCTTGTTCAGCTTCAACCGGTACGCCAATGCAAGGATCATCAGAGTGAAGAGCTGGCAAGGAAAATGTCCTCGACCACAAGTAAGAGCAGTGCGGCGGCCCGGAGAATGGTACGTGGAAGGGAAGTTGGGGAGGACTGCAAAACTTCTGAGCATTTTGGAAAGAAGGGGGGGAATGAAAAGGAGGGGATGTGTTGGGGGGGTTGGACGGGGGCGGCCAGGTGAATGCAGAGAAGAGAAGAGAAGAGAAGAGGTCGTATGTGACTCATCGGAGTGGGGAGGGGGATGTGGTACCTAGAAATGGCAGCAGACTTCGAAAGAACGAGTTTATTCAAGATCCAACAGGTGCTCATTCTCATGGATGTCTTTTCGGCTCATCACATGAATCACTCGCTGTTGTCTCCTTGCTCTCCGAAGATCTTCTGAGCAAAACTCTGCCATGCCCTCCTCTTCCTGAGAGAAGAGCAGGAAAGGAGGAGCTTGGGGGAATGGCAGGAGTCAGTCCGATTTCTCTTCATTGAGGCTAAGATTGCAACTTACTGCGAAGTCAACCAGCCAGCCATGGAGGGAGGCAATGAGTTTGGCGGTGCTGGCATTTGTCAACAAATCCCTCTAATGAGATAGTCCCAGATGACGCATGCGAACTTCAAGTAGATCCTTACACATGGCAAGCATCTCGCGCATTCCTCCTACTTCTCGCCGAGCATGGCCGGCGAGCCTTTGACATGACTTGCTCACTCGTCATGTCTTGCACTTGCAACTTCGGTCCGTGATGTCTGGCATGCAGGCGGTCTAATCTTGTCATGGCATACAGCTCAGCCCTGTTGAACAGCCTTTGTGCCGAACAGACCCCGTGGCCTCACCCTCCCATCCATGACTCGCTTCATCGTCGTAGCCCAGCACAGCTGCTGCATCAATCCTCTTTGAGTCTCGTCTGTCTGACCCCTCCTCTCCTCCCCGACCGCGGCCCATCTCTCCTCCCGACCATCTCCTCCCGCTACGACAACAGCTGATATTTTTAATTTTAGTCGGTGGGGGGTGGGGTAAGGCTCGTGACGAACTGAGCGAGTAGACATTAGAGGGTAGGGGTAATATCCCTTAAGGACGGGGGTATTCAGGCTGGAATGCAGCAGGAGAGAAGGGGGTACGTCATCACCGGAGTTGAAGATGCGTTGTAGATTCCGGGGGTGGGTAGTGTAAAAATCAAGATATCATAAGTGTAAACTTTTTTTGGGACATGGGGTGGGGTCGTGACAATTTCAGAGCTTAAAAAATAAAGGCCTTCACCCCTCTTTGTTCACTCAAAAGTACCCGTACTTGGAGAGCCCTAACCAGCCCCACCCAGGTGGTACGTCCCCCTGCAAAGTCGCTGACTGGAAAAAATATTTTTCAAAGGAATCTTCATGAAAAATAATCTTTTCAAGATGGTTTTTATTACTGTAATATTAAAGGTAAAGTATGTACCGTGGGGTGGGTTGTTTTGTGGTTTGTGAGGGGTGGTGGTGGTAATTCGTATTAAATTGACAGGCAAACTCCATGGGGTTTACCCTTCCCAGGACCGGTGGGTAACACGTAACCAAAACGGATCCTCAAGGTTCAGCAAGGGGTACTAGTGTCGACCGGTGCATGTGAGTCTACCTCAGTTGCCCGTCAACCAACCACCGGTACTATAGGGGTAAGAGGGTGGGTAGCAAACGGTAAAACCATATTTGATATACAAGAGGATTATTATAAAAGGGGTAGTACAGACGTGAACTGGGGAGAACGGGGGAGCACGGGTGTGGGTGGGGTGGTCTCGTTCTTGGTTCTTCAGAGCCATGACCATGGGCGCGGCAGGGAGGAAGGGGTAGGGCGGAGGGAGAGAGAGAGGAGGAGGAGGAGGAGGAGGAGGGAGAGATTTGACAAATAGATGTCGTGGAGGAATGACGAGGGTAGTTGGCAGGGATTAAGGCTTCCAGGTGATGATTGTGGGTATCAGAGAAGGATTGAAGGGCCAAGATAACCGAAGGAACTTGGGAGGGGAGGGGGGCGGGGGGGGACAACAGAAAAGGTAGTAAGGAATGTGTTGAAGGGTTATGAAAACCCGTTGGACATGGATAGGACATTGGAAGAAGTTGTCACCGACAAGGTCATGGTGTCAGAGCTGAGCGGGCATAATGGGACTGAGTGGCAAAGGGGATTTTGCTCTCTATGATCGTGGGACTCAAGCTGCACCAGAAGTGATGCAGCTGTGAGTCGGGTGGTTGTCTTGTCGTGGGGTGGGTAGAGGGCGTCTGTCTTGCCATGCTCAGCGATACGATTTCAAGAGCCTCCGCGGAGGATGCAGGCATTGAACCGGAAGAGGACACGAGTTATGGGATCCGGCTGTTTCAGAATGACTCGGCCATCTTTGTGATCAACCGTGCGTCCTATGTGCATGCCTTTGTACGGCTGCACACGCAGCTCCCTGGGGGCTTCATGGGTCTGGAGCTGAAGAAGAGGCTCGCCTATCAGCATGAGCCGACCCTATTCCTGTACTCCTGGGAGCCGATCACGGCGTTCATGTCTTCTAAGATTGGCAAAATCTTTGCATTCGTCATGTCTGTTCCATGGATGGCAGTACGGATACATGAAATCACTGCTCTCCGATCCCAAGGCCTGTACATCGCCGATTCGACCGCCTACCACATTATTCAGAACCCCAACGAATTGAGGGGGGACCGCGCATGCGGTTGGGGCACCCGTCTGGAGTTGCTGAGCCGGCTGATCCCCCCGGTTGCCTTGCTCGTTGCGTTGGTTTGCTCCGTCTTGCAGAGAGCGCACCTGTCTAGGAAGGTGAAGCGGAGCATGGGTGGAGGTCTTGTCTGACGCAACGGAGCAGGTCTTTGGAGTGATGGGGATACTCGACGCTGTTGTTTGCCTCTTGATCTTCCTGCAGTTGGAATTGAACGCTGAGTACAAGGAAACTCTGGCTGGAACGCCGTCGTTTCTCTTCCTAGTCGTGGCTATCAAGGTGAAGTCAAAACACTTCTCTCCTTTTGTTTGTCTGCGGCATGACTGAATGTTTTGGCAGGACGTGCTTCTCTTCCCTTGTCCACTCCTCTTCAGTGAGTCGAACGTGGTAGAGCTGAGCATACTATCATGCCTCATCTACTTCTTCGCTTCGCTAGCATGGATCGTTTCCTATCAGTCCATCGTTGCCGTTTTCCTGCTTTTTGCTTTCCTCGGACTCCGGCAAGTTTTCAAGAGGTGGGCGGAGCATTCGATCAGAGAGGACTTCAAGGTCTTCACGAGCAAGTGGGGAGAGATACTCGATGAGAACCAGGAGGCCGTGCAGCGTTTGTGTGACCGAACCAACAACGTTGCTACAACTAGTGCTAGTGTCGCAGAAGTGGAGGAGAACGAGTCGCAACGGCTCTGCTGGACAAGCTGGAGATCGCAGCTTTGCAGGATGTTTTGCCTGACCCCATGCACACCCTGTCTCCCCGTGAGTGTACATCAGGAGCCAGCCGGCATCCAACAACGATCGGTGACGGGGATCATCCAGAATCTTGACCAGTTGTATGCGCAAGCAATCCTTGTGGAGCCTATTTTCAGAGAGAAGGCCCATGTGCATGCAGCAGAGACCAATGGGATGATACCAATACGAGCACATCGCAATCAGCCCAGAGAGTATCAGCGCGTTGATGAGATCATGGGCAACGAAGACTTGAGGGAAAGCTACGAGTGGCCCAAGATCAAGAATGTGGACAGAGCGATCGAGAAGGTCCTCTATCTGTGTAACGGGGAGTCGTCAAGGCTCTTCGACGTGGTGCGGCAGTGCATCGTCTTCGAGCGGCTCGAGGACCTGTGCGAGTGTCTGGAGCGGATCCTGGGAGACCCCGAGATCGTGGTGATGAGGATCAAGAACAGGCTGGACCCGAGCTTCGACGCGCGGACGACGGGGGGGTACAGGGACGTGGCGGTGAACCTACGGGTGGTGACGGAGAGGACGAGGGAGCTGGGGGTAGCGGGGCACGTGTGCGAGCTGCGGCTCGCGATACTGGGAATGCAGGCGCTTTCGACTCAGGAGAGGCGGCTGCGATACCGACGAGTGAAACACATAGTGAGATACGACAGGGGATGGGTTGGGAGAGAGAAAGTCCATTTGATGGTGAACCTCATGCAGAAGACAAAGATGTCCTTCATCAATGACTACTTGAACCAATTCGCAACCAGACTCTTCTCGACGGATCAGCGACGGCAGTCAGACACTCTCTTGCAAACCCGCGAAAGGGAATCTGACCTGCATTTTTTGTTCCTTACCGAGATGAGCAAGTATCCGGGAGGAGTGATGGATCAGAAGCTGAATAGCATCGTGGGAGGGATCCAGAACACGATGACTTCGAGCATCATTTTCTCTTCAAACCCCGTCAGGAACGCGTTGCAGAAGAAGATTACGCAGGCAACGCTTATCCTTGCGGCAGCCTTCCTCTTCTACTTCTACGTTACCCCCGATCACATGAGGGGATTCTTAAAAAACAACGCTTCCTCCGTCCACGTAGGACGGATGCAAATACTGGAATTTCGCGACAAAGTCGTCCGCAACTTCATCCCCGCAACTTCGGTATCAAACTTCACCCTCGTGTACGACAGTTGCAAGAAACACTATCCGACCTCGTTTAAGGATGCCAACACCACTCGCTACTTCTTCTTCTCCTTGCCAGCGCTGTCGAACGGCTGGCGTTTCACCCTCGACAGCAACGAGCAACTGGCGGGTCTTGACCCGGTAGCTTTCAAGTTTGACATCTTGGACTCACCGATCGATCTTGGCGTCGACCCCCTCGATCTGCCAGCAGCGTCGTGGAAGGAGTGGACGATATTTTCATGTGAGTCGACCCCGAGTGCGGAAATCTGCAACGATCCCTCGGGTCTCCGGGGGAGAACGTTGGAGTTCACGGTTCAGCTTCGGGCCATGTACATAGCATCCACCGTGTTTGTATTCTTTCAACCGTTCGCCTGTGTCGGGGCAGTGGTGACGGCAAGGCTGGGCTTCCAGAGTCTGCCCAAGACCTTGTTTGCTTCGCTCTTTCACGTCGTGGGAGTCTGGGAGATCCTGCTCATCTTCATCGGCAACTTCGACAGGATTGGAACCAGAATAGCCTCCTTTTTCTGGGGGACCGGCGACTTCACCTTCGGCCTGGTGATCGAGCTGCAGGAGAGGTACATGATGACTGTCCTGCCGTTCTACTGCGCGTGGACGGGGATCGGGGGCTCAGCATCCTCTTCGAATCTGTACAGGAACCCCGTGAGTGAGGATCAGTTCGGCTACAGCAACTTCATCCTCATGATCACTGCCCTCTACTTCCATGCTGGCAGAAGATTCCATCTGTTCAAGGCCTCCAGGAATATCAAGATAGAGCAGCGCAAGTACAACGACCTTTGGAACTCCCTCTGCTCCAACGAGGAGAACAGGCAGGCCTTGCAGCGCATCTCCGAGCTTGTCGCGCTACACCGCGTGCCTAACAGGGTCATCCAGAGCCGAGTGCACGACCCTTCCTGCCTGCTGGAGACATGGTCACTTCCTCTCGACTGGATGAAGAGGAGGAACTCCAGGAGCGCTCTGTCCAAGAAGGGGGTGTGGAAGATGAGCCAAGACACAAAAGTCGAGTCCCTGGACCAGCTGTACGCACAAGCAGTCTTCGTCGAGCCCATCTTCCGCAAGAAGGTTCAAGACTTTGCGGCCGCGTCCAGGGGCTCTTTCCCCTCCTCCCTGCTGGCATTGGACGGGAGGCTGGAGTGCATCATTTGGAAGGACGCGATGGAGGACGAGAACCTCGCGCAGCAGGTCCGATGGGCGCCGATCAAGAGCGTGGACCGGGCGGTGGAGAAGCTCGTGCGATCCTACAACAACGACGTGTCGAGGCTGCTGGACGTGGTGCGGCAGTGCATCGTCTTCGAGCGGCTCGAGGACCTGTGCGAGTGTCTGGAGCGGATCCTGGGAGACCCCGAGATCGTGGTGATGAGGATCAAGAACAGGCTGGACCCGAGCTTCGACGCGCGGACGACGGGGGGGTACAGGGACGTGGCGGTGAACCTACGGGTGGTGACGGAGAGGACGAGGGAGCTGGGGGTAGCGGGGCACGTGTGCGAGCTGCAGCTGTTGATGAAGGAGTACATGGACCTGAGGACGGCAGAGGGGCACAAGCGATATGTATCCTACAGGAACCTGCGCTGCGAATGAGCCGTCCGGCGGGGCCACTGCCAGGGAGACGAGTCAGTTGACTTGATATTTTTTATACTATATGAACCGGCGGTTCTGAGAGTTCTGCCGCATTTGTCACAACCGTCCCCGGGCCTACTAAGATAATTTGATTCAGCCTGTGACGTCCGGGTAAGCCCCCCCGCGCAACGGTAGGCTGCTGGTGATGATCAGTAGCCGGCTTAGCCACTCAGATCACTGACGGTCATGTGGCATTGCGACTCAGTCCTTCGGACTGAGCCTCGGAGCGGCCCCCCCGGGGGCCCCCGAATATACTGAGGCCGCGCTGTGACTGGTTGCCGCGCCAGGCTGAGGACCCAGTGCAAGTGTTTAGTGCAGAACTCCGAACGCGGTTACTAAGACCAAATCACAAACCGTCAAAGGAGACAAAGTAGTGTAACGCGTTGGGGGCCTAAACTTGCAGTGGCAGTCACGGCCGCCCGGCCGCCCGGCCCGGCCGCGCGCCCGGGCCCGGCCCGGCGGGGTGGTTTGCCACGAGGAGTATGAGGGTGATGATGCCTTACAAAGTTGCGACCGGTTGGGAATCCATGCGGAGCTGGATTAGCGGCGCATGGGGCGCAATGGCAGCGACAGCAGGAGGAGGAGCTGCCGTAGCAGTGGCGTCAAGATTCATGGTGGTAAGACAAGATGAAGTTGGCAGCGAGATGAGGGGGAGATGCTGGAGGAGAGGAGGCAGGGAGAGGCGGGCAGAACGGGGGATAGGTGGGTCTAAAGTTTCTTCAAGCATCGTTACTAGCATGTCTGCACATCTTCTTACTCTAGTCGTTGCTTGCAGCATGACCCGAGTATTGATGATAATGCTGACGACGAGGACGTGGTGGATCTTGCCGGCTCCATGCCATTATCGAACGAGCCAGAAAGGGTTTCGAAGGATTCGTCAGCCTATGACGGTGAAAGACAGCATATGATACAAGATCTACACACTGGAAAGACAATCTTAGCATGCACAATTCTCTCCGGGGTAGGTTTGATAGCACTCTCTCCCTTTCTTCTCATCCACCTCCAGGCTCTTCTTGCAATGAACTATCGCATGTTCTCCCGCTGGAACAAGCGGTGGAGTAAGGTAGACGCCGAGCGGTTCCAGAAAGGTTTCGACGAGTTTGTCAAGGAGAGATCTTGGGAGGAGCGCAAGGGTCTTCTTGCTCTGTGAGTCCAATCGTTGCTAACTCCGAGGGTAGCAAGTCCAAGCGCAAAGCAACAGCAGGAGGAGTTCGACACCTTCTGGAGAGAATTTCAGAAGAGGTTCCACTTCTGCTTCGTTGAGGGGAGGAGAGGAGGAAGAGGGAGGGAGGGAGGGAGGGAGGGAGGGAGGGAGGGAGGGAGGGGAGGGGAGTGGGGACGAAGAGAGCGAGGATAGGAAGGGAGAAGAGGAA